TTCCAGTTGTTCACAGATAATTACATACATTCACATATATACAATATATATTTTATGGCCGCTGTCAATACACTGAGAGGAAAGGCCTTGCGAGCATGGTATAAGATCAAAAGTTCACTGAAATCAACTTCTCATCTCCAAGCAGACATTCTCATTCTCATCTCTAATTGTACCCATTGCATCATATGGAGCCGAGGTATGGGGCTGCAGTCTTCTAAGACCCCCGCATGAAATGTATCATAACTGGTCTAAACAACTATGTAATGAGATCACTATCAAAATAGCAAAGCAGATTCTAGGAGTTCTTTTTGTACTGTCCAAATTATCAGAATGAAAGACAGATACTTCTTAAAAAAAAATAGGGTGCCGTTTTCGCCAGGCAATAGTAGCCGTTTTCGCCTGAGGCGAGGTGACGTTTTCGCCAATCGGTGCCGTTTTCGCCAGGTGACGTTTTGCTGAGGTGCCGTTTTAGCTATAACCCCTGACCGAGCGAAAGAGAGGTCAGATACCATAAAAAGTTCACGAGTTTCGTAAAAATGGTATCTAACGAGAATAAGTGTGGTATTTTATATATTACCCATATCAAAATATGTATTTAAGTGTAAATACATAAAAAAAACTTTCTTTCGCTGACAGATCAAACTGAATTAACCGGATGCAAATCTGGTAGCGCATGAATATTGATATAGGCATTGTTGACATTTCTATGCATACGCATTAACAACATGTTACTGCTGTTGTGTGTGCAAACATGACAGCATCAACGCTCAAGGTCTTATTTTTTAAAATTATTCAACTTATATTAATTAAAGCGCATTGTTAGTACGCACGACACCTATAAGAAAATCTAAAAAGTCAATTAGCGTCGCGCTTTGAATGTCGGAAAAACAGTTGGTCACTCGCACCGCCGGAGTCCCGTCTGTGCAATCAAAATTTTACGGTTACCTTGATCTATCAGCTGAATTTATATCCTGTCCGTACCATTTTGGAATAGGGAAATCAGAGTGCTCGCCAAAGACATTCATGTTAACTGTACCACCCTATACTGAAGACGTTAAAAATCAACAAACTCAAGTATGCTTGCATGTCAGTGACAGCTTCGAACGATGGGCAAGGTCACCATCGGAATAAGAAAAGACAACCGTGATCTACTCACATCGTTTTTCGCTAGGGAATGATATTGTTCGCATTTGGGATCTTCTGGGCCACAAAATCAGAAGTCAGGCACACTTCCACGGAGTTTTTAGATGATTTGTACTTCGAGTGATCTAGTATGATCTAGTATGTTTATTCATGAACAAACACCTCCCGAAACAGTGTCACAAAATACGCTTCAAAGGGGGCACTGGTGGCACAACCGGAGCATCCACCGTAAGTCCAGATATATATCCAGATAGTTAAAGCTGTCTTCGTTTCACCCCTTATCCTTTTATGTTAAATCAAATTGAAAGTCGAGAACGTAGTTACGCTCATAGGGACCCTCGATCTATCGATCCGTGGTAGTACATTGCAAATGAATATAGATCGATTATATAGTGTCTGTAGTAGCTCTGTGCATAACTAATACAGAATGCAAAGCGAAGTTGATGCGTGTGACTATCTTGTTTCAGTTTTGCATAGTTGCAAACAGAATGACGTCTCAGGAATTGTTTTTGAATGAAAATAGTAGTTCCGGTGTGACAGAGGTCACGGTTATCCAATCAAAACGACTAAAACGAGGTCAACCTTGTACGACACACGTGGACGTACGGAATTAGTATCTTACCACCTGTATCTTCACCGCGTGGGTAATAATAAGAATTGACCTTCACTTTGTGTGAGTTCATTGGAGTATGAACCTTCATAGAGTGAGGGCCAAACATTGTATGAACGTCGTCGCAAGCTCCGACTTTCATACAGTTTGGCCCTCATTCTATGGAGGTTCATACTCCAATGAACTCAAACAAAGTGAAAGTCAATTCTTATAAAAAAAATGATCACAATTTCCTACCTCAAAGGATGTAGGCCAAGATCTAAACACACATGTAGTAAGTACGCGTGAATTCATGTTTACACTGACAGCCATACAACAACCAGCTATATCGCGGAGTAAAATAGTTCCTCCAAAAGCGAGGTGACATGGGCGTACAGATGCACAACTTGCACTTCAGAAACATATTACGCAGCACATGTGATCAAATCATATCCTCATTAGATGAGAAAGGTCTGTAAAGAACTACCTCAGTGAGGCAGCCACAATGACAGCGCGTCGTAATACATTTACATCAAGTACAAGACGTCAAAATGGCCGACACAATAAACGTGACGGGAGAGATTTCGAAAGTTGTTAATGAACCTGTGGCGGTTACATGTGTAAGGCATCATTGATCAACTGGCCGATCATTGAAAGGTGAATAAAGATGCGTCAAACAGACACTAAGGTAAATTCATAGATTGCTGGAGACGGTCAATGTCAGCCTAGGCACGGATTGAGTCGATACTACGATAGTTTAGATGTGCATTTCTTCGTTTGTTCATTAGGATAGGCCGCAGCGAGGATATTCGTGAACAATCATGCAGTCACGCTCTCTGACATTTCTCAATGTATGTGTCGTTCATACACTTATGAACGTCAATTTCGCGGACATGTGACCGACCTCTCGTCCAATGGAAAAGCAGTATATCGTGTAAACTTCAAACACTCTCCCACCCAGAGTTCCATGCGACCGGCAGCCAGCCAGCATAGTACCTCTGCCACAGGCCAGCGCCATGTGACGATTCGTCACATCTTTCACAGTCCATTCAAAATATTGCATATGCTTTTCATCCGTTTCATGTTTGACAAGTCTACACATTTTCATAAACAAATGTCAAAGAATGGTTACGGTTCATTAAGAAAGTATCCTAATACGTGAAAATCTACTTGTTTTTGCGTAGTTATCCTTTGTTTACATTAATTGTACAGCTCCACGTGCTGTCATCGAAGCCCAACGGAGAGCTAGCAATACGGTCACTTTGATGTATAAATATACTGAACAGCATTGAAAACGCACCAGCAATACATCTTGAAATATAACAAAAACAACTTGAGCAATGACCGATTTTAATTAGAACAGACATAGACGGATTATTAAGAAAGACGACAAAGGAAACAGGAACACCACACAGTAATTACATTTACGTCATCAGTGTAAGGAAGACACATAGGGTTAAAATGAAAAGTCAATATCTGGTATGTCCGCCATTGGCAGCAACACAGGCCATGCAACGTCTTCTCATTGATCAAATAAGTCTGCGAATAGTGTTTTGGGGCATTCCACTCTTGACGTAGTGTATCTTCAAGTTTTCTCAGGTTCTGTACTTGCGGACGACGTGAGAGGCGTTGACCCAGGTAATCCCATAGATGTTCAATTGGCGATAGATCGGGTGACAGAGCTGGCCATGGAAGCAGAGGCACATTATTGTTCGCTAGGTCCTGTGTTGAAACACGTGCTGTGTGCGCTCTTGCATTATCTTGCTGGAAGGTGTGCATATCCTGGTGCTGATGAAAGAATGGGATGACGTGATTTGCCAATATGTTATTCCTGTAGTAAAGGGCATTAACTCTTCCACAACAAACATGGAGCTCTGTTCGGTGGTTATGGCTGATGCCGCCCCATACCATGACACTCCCTCCCCCCCATCGATATGTCTGTACAACGCAGTCATTGTGGTAACGTTCTCCACGTCGACGCCACACTCGCAGTCAACCGTCAGCATTCCATAAATGAAAACGGGACTCATCAGAGAACAGCACACCATGCCACTGCCGCAATCTCCAATGACGATGCCTTTTGGCCCAACGCAGACAGTCATTTCGATGTCGATCAGTGAGTATGGGTCCAACATATGGACGTCGAGCACGTAGCCCTGCTGAGCGGAGACGTCGACGTACGGTGTCAGCACTGCTCAAACCCCGTCGGCCTTGTACGTTTGCTGCAGTCCTGGTAGCCGGAAGTGTACGATCACGAAGATGCCGACGAACAATATGGCGATCCTGACGTGGTGTAGTTACACGACGTTGACCCGGACGTGGTCGAGTTCTGGTGGTTCTTGTCTGCTGGTATCTGCTCAGTAGCCTGAGGACTGTTGAATGATGGCATTGAAACCGTTGTGAAACAACTCTACTTGACGTACCAACTTGAAGCATGCCCAAGGCACGTTCACGTTCCTCTGCTGTTAATCTTGGCATTTCTTGTGTCAGTACCCTTTACGTCTGCAGCAACAAGTGATGTGGCTTTTAAAAGTCTGCATGCTTCCCGTGAAACAAAACACGATGTGCACGCAATTTGTTGTGTTTTGGTGATGTCGCTCACAAAAAAATTATGAATGTGTTTTGACGAGCTGTTCTTCTTCATGCTTCGTCCAGAACGTCGTATATTACTCATTCACTTATATATTTTCAAATGACTTAAGCCCGGATAAAAATATATATCAATTTTCATGGTGGTGCGTTTCTTAATGCTGTTTAGTATATATTGTCATGCAACTCACTGTCGCAGTTGTAGTAGCATATCTATATAATTATGCAAAACAATATGTAAAGCGCCCCCAAATACTTGTATTAGTCCGTTCTATATTGATTTCTGAAAAAGAGCGTTTACAAACAAGAGAAAAGTTCGGTCACGTGATATGCAAATCAGCCTGTGGCAGTGGTGTTATGCTGAGTCACCACTGCGCCGGAGTCATTCGTCACCACTCGGCCCTTTCCGTAACCTGAAAGAAGACTCGTCCCCCTCTCGATGAATGTTATGTGCGAAAATACGACAAACCAATCAGAATGCGCGTATGGCTTCAAGTACATCGGTCAAAGAATCCCTCAGCTATAATTTTTGATTTTACATACGTCTTGTATCTAAAAATAAACCCAAGATACAGATAAATTTGTTCAATCATATTTTATATTAATTTATGTCCGATGTGTTTTAAATATTATCTGGAATATATAACATATAGGGGAAAAAATATGTGTGAATCATTACGCAAAATGGCCGCTGAATTTGAAACAGCGTTGGCGTATGCCAAAGACAATATTGACATCAGTTTTAAATTAAAGGACAAGCAAGAAGAAACTTTAAAAACAGTGTTCGCAGGACGTGACTGCATAGCTGTGTTGCCAACAGGATATGGGAAAAGTCTCATTTTTCAACTTTTGCCTTTTCTTCTCCAGAGAGATCGGCCAGCTCCAGGAATTGTCATCGTCGTCAGCCCCCTGAATTCACTCATGCAGGACCAAGTCATCTCACTCTGTGAGAAAGGAGTCAAAGCCTGTTTTCTGAACTGTCAAGGTAAGCAGGTACACATGCCATGTCTATAGGCCTATATGTTTGAAATGCTGACATGAGTCAATATTTTATGGTAGAATCTAACAGATAACCGTAATATGTTCATGAAAAAGGCTTAATTAGCGCACGGACTTGTATAATATGTTGTTATATAGGTCCATGATTAGCGTAAATTAAAACTTGACTGTTCATTGTTCATCAGCATCAGCAAGAAATCGAACTGGCTTAAATAGTATCGTGATCTATCATGAAAAGATGCATAGACTTATATACACTTGTTTACTGCAGTTTGATCAGTTCACACATTTATTATTTCATCATAAGTATTCGCTATTCGGCTTGTCCCGGAATAACACGAGTTGGTCACGAATGCGCCGGAGTGTGAACTTCAAATTAAAAAATTATCTACATTGTTGATATCGCTGCTATGAAATTGCATCACAATGCTTTGCAGACCGTTGTGACGTCATTGTTACCATGAGGTCACAATCAAATGACATCACTAATGGGTCTAACACTAAAGCTGTTAGCAGTACCGTTTACACTAAAGACACTGCTTATTACTATTACAAAAACTGAAAAAGTTGGAAGAATGATGTTGGATGATGAATAGAATCTCACCGATACACTCTTCGATAAAGGTTTAAAACTCCTCGGCAAGCCTTTAGACCCGTGATGATCCGGGGTAGAATAGGTCTTCAACAAAGCATGTTTGCCGTAAACGGCGACTATGCTTGTCGTAAGAGGCGACTAACGAGAACGGGTGGCCAGGCTCGCTGACTTGTTTGAAGCATGTCATCGTATTCCAGCTGCGTGGATCGATGCTCATGACGTCAATTACTGGGTTGTCTGGTCCAGACTTGATTATTTACAGACCGCCAACATATAGCTAGAATATTGCTGGGTGCGGCGCCAACCAACCAAACCAAACTCGGAGTTTTAAACTTCGACTCGTGTAGATATATTTGATATCAAAGGACACTTGGGCGAGATTCTCCATATCTATATAGTTAAAACAATATAGTCATATCTATGTAGTCAGTATAATAATATCAATATAGCGATAACAATATAATAATACTTATGTGGTCATATCAATATAAATTTTTATCACATAATGGGTAGGTTTCTCGGCAGAATAAAGCCAACGGATAACAACCTATGCGTATAAAGATGCAAATATCAAAGGTAAAGTAGGGACTACTTTCAATGTATATAAACAAACATGGCGTCGCCCTTGTCATTCGGCGATCGAGTCAGAATTAACCATCGGGAATCTGGATAAACTACAGGGATAATTGCTATCATTATCATTAAGAACAGTCTAATATACAGAAAATCAGTGTCCAACTGTCACGTAGGTAAGGCATTTCATAAGTTTTGGCAACTTTGGAGACATACATTTCGAAACAATTGTGCGAGGGTATACGAGTCTCCTGACATCCTGATTAGGGATCCTACGCCATTCCTCCCGCAGGGCAACTGCCAAGGCATGCATCCCTCGTCAATGGCGGCTGTTTACGTTTCCGAATCCAAATTGGTCCCAGAGGTGCTTTATGGGCGACAGGTCCGGTGATCTGGCTGGCCACTGCAATACGGTCACGTTATTGGCGTCCAGAAAGTCGCTAGTGACTCGAGCTGTGTGAGGGGTGGCGTTGTCCTGCTGAAACAGCGTCCGTGGGTGGCGTTGCAGGGAAGGCAGCACCACAAGCCGCAAGACCGCAGTGAGATAAGGCTCCACTTCTTGGACGCAACAACGTGCCGTCCGTTCACCACGTCGTCGGTAGATTCGAACCCGCCCATCAGACTTGAAGAGCTGGCACCTACTGTGGTCGCTGAAGTGCACTCTTCGCCAATTTCTCTGCTGCCACTGCTGTACAGTCCTGGCCCATCTCAGTCTGTGACGTCGAGGTAGACACGTTAACGTCATGCCCTTGAAAGGTCGATCGGCACGGAGTCCATACAGGCGGAGTCTTCTGCTGGCTGGATGGCCAAGGCTGTTTGTGGTTGATGATTTCACAGTTAGAAATCGGGACATTAGGTGAAGCACCCGTAAATACCGGTCTTCCTGTGGGGTCATGACCTTGGGTCTTCCGCTCCTCGGCCTGTCTACAGTACTGCCAGTTTGCCTGTGACGTGTGACAAGTCTGGCGATGGTGGACTTGAAGCAGCCCATCATCCTGGTAACATGCTCCTGCGTCGTTCCCATTTGCATCATATCGATGGCTCTCCCTCTCTGCTCCGCGGTTAGTCGAGGCATGATCGTTGTTTCAAACGGTTTCAAGTGATGAAAGAGAACAATCCTGTCATGTTTTATACCAGAATAACATACGGGTAACTTTGTGCACATTTAGCATTTTTTAGTGTTTAAATTCACTTAAGGTCAGTTGCATTCCAGCTATGTGTTCCCAACAGTTTAAATTTGTTGAAAACTGACGACCATTATTTATTTGGTGGCGTTTCTTTTGCCCCTCAGTTTATATAGTCATAAAACTAGAGTAATATTTACGTAGTCATAACAGTGTAGTAATATATATATATATATATATATATATACATAGAGCAATAACAATAGAGTAATATTGGTGTCGTCATATCAATATAGTAATACCTATATAATCAAAACCGAATGTTTACGAATACATATAATTTATTAATATTGTAAATAATAATATGTCATGTAGACTGCGCATATTTCCCCATCACACAGGTGCATGCTCCAAGCGTTAATATTACCCCGGTCACGTGATCAATGTGCACGTAACAATCATTCTGAGCTCCCCGGGGAGTATACAACCCAAGCTGCCTGTTAGGCGGTAGAAGGTTAACAACCACGTTGCCATATAATTATTATTACCTGATTTATTGAGGAGGACTGAGTGTTTTTGTTGACTGTTTAAGCTCCAGAAGCCTCATTTAAGGTCAAGTATGTGCAACTTCTCAATGTCTTCTTTCCTATCGCAGCCTTGAGACCTCTTTACTACTTTACTACCGTTAGCAATGATCCAAAGCTGGAGCGTTGACGATAGGAACAGTATGATCCCCGTGAAGTGCATTATTAAGTGATACATGTGCTGTGAGAGTATACTTAAGAATTGAACGTCAGTTCATGGGTTCATTGAAGTGTGAACGATTTAAAAGCGCTGGTTAAACTGTGTGAACCTCCGAGCTTGCGAAAAATGGCAGAAAACTTTGTCGGCGACGTAGCGGCGAGCGGTATGCCAGGGCAACAGTTCTTGACCATTATCGATATGAGGGCGATAGTGTCATGGTGTGGGAGCGGCATCACAAATGAAGGGCGAAGTGATTTGGTTATTGTGAACGGACATTTCATTGGCCAGAGACACGTTGACGAAATTTTGCGACCTGTCAATGATATATCACCAGAGTTGTCGGCAGGAATTTTGAACTGCAAGATGACAATGTCAGATCACATCGTTCAAAAGTCGTCACATATTATCCCCGACAAGAAGTCACACGGACATCGGTCCCCAGTAGTGCATCTGTGGGTGTTCTCGGGCAGACAGCGTACGCCCGAGACCCAGCACCGCCAACTTGGCCCAGCTTGGGGTAGCTCTTCCGGTGGAGACCTCTCAACGTAGAGAAAAGGTCTTCAGCAACACATGCATGCAGTAAACGGCGACTATGCTTGTCGTAAGAGGCGACTAACGGATCATTTGGTCAGGCTCGCTGACTTGGTTGATGCATGTCATCATATCCCAATTGCGTGGATCGATGATCATGATGTCAATCACTGGATTGTCTGGTCTAGACTCGATTATTTACAGACTGCCGTCATATAGCTGGAATCTGATCGAGGTTGAATAACAAAAATCTTCAGGCGCAATACCAAGGCAACCATACACAAGATGATCAACAGTAGGCCATCATGTGTCCTTGACCAGATAGTGCTCTACACGCCCGAACCTTTTGAGAAGCATACTGTGTCGATTAGTGAGTGAATGAGTGAGTAAGTAAGGTTTACGCCGCATTTAGCAATAGTCTACTAGGCTACTAGGCTAACCCACCGTCCGAATGGCATATGGAAGTTATACACATAAGGAAGAGAATATATGGATGTCAATGTCCTTATTATGAGGAACACAACGTTTCGGAGTGTATACCTACTCCTTCATCTGGTGATATAACGGGTATTCAGATGAATAGGTGAGTATGGTTTTACGCCGCTTTTAGCAATATTCCAGCAATATCACGGCGGGGAACATTGTACCCATGTCGGGCATCGAACCTGGGTCTTCGGCGTGACGAGCGAACGCTTTAACCGCTAGGCTACGATATTCAGATGAACTCTGTCCCGTAGATAAATAGAGCCACACAATTTTCAGTATTTCTGACTGTGATTGAAGGATGGGTTCTTTAGAATCGAGGTTCATATGTTTTCCGAAACATGGAGTGATGTACTTAATCTTAAAGCCAGAAGTACAAGCTTTGCTATAAACTGAGCAACAGTTGCTGGACTCCTAGGTGAGTGAGTGCATCCAGTTTGTGTTAGTTTAATATGTGTGTGAACTGCACGCCTAAGTGGCGCAAAATTGAAAAGCGATTTCAACGAGTGTCTGTGGAACACGTGGTTGACGTCGAAGGCGCTGATCCATCTCATCCCACATGAGCTCGATTGGTGAGAGATCAGGGTAGCGAGCCGGCCAGGGGATGACATTCACGTTGTTTTGTTGAAGAGAATCCTGAACAAGTCGAGCAATTTGAGGTCGAGCGTAGTCATGTTGAAAAGTAATGCCTGGGCCATGACGACGCAAAAACGGTAGAACAGGGTCGATGATCTCATCGCGGTAGCGCTGTCCATTGAGATTTCCCTCTACCACCATCAAACGGGTCCTCTGTCTTGCTGTAATCCCACCCCATACCATAACGCTGCCGCCCCCGAACCGATCTTCTTCCATGACACAATGATTTACGTAACGTTCACCTCGACGTCGGTACACTCGAATCCGTCCATCGCTGTGGCTGAGGTGAAAACGAGACTC